TGTTTCGTACGGACGGACGGACACGGAGGGTGACCCTATATGCCCCAAGGCCATATATGGCGGGGGCATAAAAATGATGCATTAAGTCCAGTTTGTTAGTAGACTTTGAAAAAATAGCACTAAATACTGAACTGTACAGTTTAAGAGATGTGTTTATGCAGCATGAATTTTGACCAATATTTATAATGCATTTTTCTGTACAATATTAGAATCCCAGTTTTTACGTAATTAATTAATTAATTTAATTAAGGTCATCGCAGTGAAGCCGTTCGTGTGTACAAGAGGTCTTCAGATCAGCAAAGGGCATCAGTTTCCGATCTATTATGCGCTGTCCCCGACAGAAAAAGAAAAATTGATTCCGAACCAACTGTTCAAACTCTTGAAACGGAAGGAAATGATTCCGGTAAAAGTGCAAAGAAACACGACATTCTGTGACTATCAACTTCAACTGAAGTAAAGAATTGTTGAAAGATAGTTTTGTTAATCATGTGAGATTTCACAAGAAAACTAGGGCCTGTATTCACAAAGCGATCCTAGCGTTAGGATGTCCTAACTTGGTTCTGTCTATGTATGTGAGTTAAAGCTATGATTAAGTTAGGACATCCCAGCACTAGGATCGCTTTGTGAAAAGCTAGCCAGGTATCTGGATCAGATACGAAAGTATCTCCGGTAGGAGGTCTTACTTTCGATAGTAAGACCCGGTAGGAGGTGTTACTTTAAGAGGTAAGACCTGCTACCGGGTCTTACTTTTCAATAGTCAGATCTCCAGCTCAGCAAGAGGTCATTACATGAAAATTGGGTACCTCCAGTATAACGGTATATATCACACATAGGTTTATATTGTCTGTTGTAAGTCAGATATCTCAGTAGGTTTAAATACTCATCGACGCAGAGTGCTGACGGTTTATGGTCTTGAATTAATAACTGAACTTCATTTAAGTTCTTTCAAAGTCCTCTGCAAATCCACAAAGATTGAGCCATGTAGGCTGAATTGGGGACCCTATTTCGTGACTGTGAGGAAGTCTGCGTCTGGTTTGCGTACAGTTTTGTTGCTTCAGAAAATGAAATGTTATTGTTGTATTTAGGTATAACTATATCAGACTGTCTTTGCCACTCGGGACAAGACTTTGAAGAGACTATAAACATGACTACAATGACAGTTTGCACATTTGATGTCTTTTTGACAATCTCAAACATCATGGTGGTAACCACACAGATGCCACACAGCAGGACCTCGACAAGATTTTGAGCCATGACTAAATTTGTGACAGGTGTTGTATCAGAATGGATTGGGGATATACACCTCCATTCTGATATTCAGAGACCCGTGAAGATCCGGGATAGAATAGGTCTTCAGAAACCCATGCTTGCCACAAAAGGCGACTATGACACATGTCATCGGTTCCCAATTGCGCAGATCGATGCTCATGCTGTTGATCACTGGATTGTCTGGTCCAGACACGATTATTTACAGACCGCCGCCATATAGCTGGAATATTGCTGAGTGCGGCTTAAAACTAAACTCCCTCCCTCACTCTGATATTCAGATATCTAGACTTAATGGATCGTGGTGCTGACGCACAGGCAAAACTCACCAAACACGTGTTTGTTTTTTCAACTGTACCATCGATATTTTGGGTGAAACGTTTAATGGATGTTACACCTCGGTCTTCATGTTCAGCTTGAATCTCCTGTTCAGAGATGTCGGATAGGCAACCATTCTCTTTCCACAGAAGTAACTTGTCATATCTTTCCCGGTTCTCGTATAATCCCCTAGAGGCAAAAAATCGCAACGCGAATTATCTCCCTTCTTACTCTCCAATCAGAACACGTGTTACATCGACTTAGATCCAACTTGACTAACATAAGCAAATATGGGGCCACAAATATCACTCCTCTGCCGGGGACTTGTGTTGATGTGACACACAAGACATTTAATGGCTAGCTTGTCCGTTGTCAACGAGGGCGATGGAGACGCCTTTGATCCGCCATAACATGACCGAGTTCTGTCTAGAAGAAACGTTTGCGCATCGCACAGGGGAAGAGGTTATTAGTTTTCCCGAAGCATACGGAAATTACCGAGGCCTTGCGAACGATCACTTTTGAAACAACGTCGCTGATTGCACAACTAAATCTGATTGCAACCAATCACGAATCCTGAACTCTCGCACCATGAAAGGGCCGTATTAGAACAGAGGTTCGTAGGAAGGTATGACAAGCAACCTCTGTGGGAAGAGAATGATAGGCAACGAGCTCTGTTTCGGACAATGCCCCGACATGAGTTAAATGAGTGTATACTACCACAAGTATATTGGCAAATTTTGGGCCTGATGGAAGATTGTGAGATTGTTGTTTTCTCCCACATTCTACTAGAAGTGAGCCAGTTACATTTTCACATCTCCGCAAGGATACAAGTGAGTGAGTGAGTTTAGTTTTACGCCGCACTCTGCAATATTCCAGCTATATGGCGGCGGTCTGTAAATAATCGAGTCTGGACCAGGCAATCCAGTAATCAACAGCATGAGCATCGATCTGCGCAATTGGGAACAGATGACATGTGTTAACCAAGTCACCGAGCCTGACCACCCGATCCCGTTAGTCGCCTCTTACGACAATCATATTCACCTGTTGTGGCAAGCATGGGTTACTGAAGACCTATTCTACCCTGGATGTTCACGGGTCGATACAGCAAGTATGACACGAAAGGCAGAATGAGTTACCAAATTAAATGCCTGCTGCGGCCCATAAAAAGAACACCAACATCACCAGATTGGCCTATGAGCCACCGCCTTCCGGTATAAGATTCTAGGCAAATGGTATGTGAACGAGATAAATATTTTGGCCATGACTAACCAAAATACATTGTGTATTCAAATATGCTCTACCGCATACATCAGTTTAACAAAATACGTATAAGATAACTTGCTATTTTGTTGTCTATGTTTCCCGTTTCTGTATATTGAGACAGATATAAAAATATGGTGTTTAAGTAGAACAAATAAGTTTTCCAAAGGTAAGTAATGTATCGCTTACCGTAGGTACGAAACACCAGCATTCACGTTGGCAACTTCACGTTTAATGGATGGTGATGATATATGTGAGTATGCATACCAATTTATAGCCTCTTAATAGAGTGTTTTGATGAAAAGAATTGAAACTGGAGCATTACTCATTTCAAGAAAATAACGTCACCTATCAATACAGTTTAATACGTTTAATATGAAACAATATATGGGCTTAAATCATGATAATATCGGGGATCAATCCTTTGATTTTTTTGGGAATGTGAAATCAAAAAGAACGCCCGATAGTCTTTCTATGGCCCAATAATCATTTGGTATTATTAGAAATGTCACGTCATGTACTTTTTGTAATAAGGATGAAATGCATCCCTGAAACATAAGAAATATGCAACAAATTCGTTATTAAGATTTGCGATTATTCTCATGATTGCTTCAAGGTGGGCGGGTGTTTGTGGAAAGTAATAAAGACAGAATGTTCTTTTGCCTGCCATTATTGTTATTGGATGGTAAGAGCAGAGCTCATTAGCCACGAGGGACAGAAAAGATTAAGCTAACATTAAAACTATCTAGAAGAGTAGTAAAGGGATGTCGAACAGATCAGCGATGCCCTGTAGTTTTCTTATTACATGAAACGTTAGTTCATTGTCATTTATATATAACTTTTTATTCAGTAGAAATGGTCACAGGCCCATGTACAATGTATACTAGCCACATACAGAAACTGTACACACAGAAAATCCCTTCAGAATTGGAATACAACACAGAAAAGACGAAATGATGTGGACACTTTATAAGCTGAAGTATCGGGCCACAACAACATGTCAAAAGAACATGAACAATAAGCGTAACGATGACGTCAGAAGTTCAAAATTGAGTAGGGGGTCACACGTCAAAGTCACAAAGTCAATAACGGGTATGACCATCATGCGCGTGAAGCACGCATAGAGGCTACCAAATGAGCATTGAAGGCCTGGGGAATGTTTGGGACGTGGTCACTGCCGTCTGGAACCTGTGTCTGAGATGAGTCACCCGAATTCATCTGTCCTGTCATGGCGTCGTTACTCGGGGACGCCCAGAACGTGGGTGGTCGGCAAATCATTAATGTTTCCATAACGCCTGAGCAATGCAGATATCGTCTTACGATGACATTGGAAATGTGCTGCCACCTGTTGTTGGCTCATGCCTGCTCGAACCATTCCAATGGCTTCATGACGTTGAGCAGATGTTTATCTTGGCATGGTGTGCATGTGACTTCTCATGTGAATTTGTGAACGTTTGAATGACCAAAGATCAAGCTTTCGACAATGACAGCAATTTCTGAGTTTCACATGTAGTGTGCAGCTGCACAGGCTGCACGTGCAGTAACACATTGCAAGTCCATAGGCCACCATCAATGACGTCACGTCGCCTGGCACCTGCATGAGCTTTTGATTGTCTCCAATAGTTGGTATGTTCACACCTTTATTTATGTATAAAGACGCTGTCTGCCTATCTTTATGTTTTCTGTGTGCACAGTTTCTTTATGTGGCCAGTATATAATTCAGTACAAAAGGAATGATGTGCACAATAAGTAGAACATATTTTTTTTATATTTACAATAATAATGCGCTACGTCGCATAAACGCTTCCTTAATATACTACTTAAAACAAGTTAAGGGTCATTCGATGTCATCATGTAATGTTATTGGTGAGGCTGGTTGAATTATGTATAAATAAAATTTTACATTCCGCGTATGGCAGTTTATTCAAAGCCATTGCAGAACCTGGATAACGGCTGCAGATAACCGTGATGCCAACAGTCATCATGTGGTAGGGTGTTAAAAAATGTACAAATTGAAACATCGAGTGCTTTACAGAAAGATGATGTTTCAACATGAACAACATGTGCACGTGTTCGTCGTGGGGTTAGTCCTGTACATGCTTATTGTCCCTATAAAACTTGTAATTGTCGCATTGTTATTGTCACTTGAAACTACCAAAAGGCACCAGTACACCACAAGATCTATGTATGTGCCAAGTTTGGTGAAGAAATAGAGAACGGTTTTAGAGTTCTGCTCCGGAAAAGAGCACTACCCCCAATTTCAGTCTAAGTCAAACTTGTTGCCATGGAAACGCCACAAATATTTTATTCAGAATTCCAAAACTACCACAAGGCACCAGTACACCACCAGATCTAGCTATGTGCCAAGTTTGGTGAAGAAATATTGAACGGCCTTAGAGTTCTGCTCTGGAAAAGACAAATGTGCACGGACGGACGCACGGAAAACATCAGAAATTGTACCAGTTCCTATAAAGGCACAACCTAAAGAACTCTACGACTACAGGCCAGTTGCTCTCACATCTATAGCAATGAAGTCGCTGGAACGCATCTTGTTGAGACATCTCCGTCAGGAAGTTGCCGACATACTGGACCCGCTTCAGTTCGCCTACAGGTCAAGGAGAGGAGTTGTTGATGCCACACTGTCACTCCTGAATAATGTCTATAAACATCTAGAGACACCTAAGTCATACATCAGGATCCTCTTCGTTGACTTTTCATCTGCGTTCAACACTATCCAGCCACATATCATGGTACAGAAACTGTTAGACATGGGCGTTAACTCATACCTCATCAAGTGGATCGAAAACTTTCTTGTGGACAGACAGCAGTACGTAAATGTTAACGGGGCTGTATCGAGTAAACGGACCACCAACACTGGTGCATCACAAGGCTGTGTAATATCTCCTGTTCTTTTCACCCTCTACACTAATGATTGTGTAAGCTCGAATTCGACCTGTTCAACTGTAAAGTTCGCAGATGATGCAGCAATTGTCGGCAAACTGAACGACACTGATTCTGAAGAACTGTATAAAGAGGACATTAATCATGTTACGACTTGGTGTACAGAAAACCACTTACTCTTAAATGTCACAAAGACAAAAGAATTGATAATTTACTTTCGGAGCAAACCCACAGAACTGCTTTCAGTGATAATCAACGGTGAATGTGTTGAGACAGTGTCGGAAGTATAAGTATCTGGGAACCCACAAAGTTCCAATTGTGAAAATTAAGAGAGCCCGTACATCCTTTATTCCAAGTACCATATCTCTCTGAAACAAATGTGAAGATGCCTAAATCAACGAATTTATGTAAATATGTTTGGTATCTCTCTAATGTGTCAGTAGCTCTGCTGATGTAACACAAATTCCTGAAAAGGCATTAAAGTATTATTCTATTCTACTCTATTCTATTCTACCTTCCTCACTTCAGTAACCCATGGCTTGCGGTTATTATCGTCCATTCTTTTTAACATAATATAGGTTTGTTTTGGATATCTATTTCTTCCATAACTAATTATTTACACCAGTACTTAACACATCTTATTATAGAATGACAACAAATATGATGCCGACCGCATTCAGATAAAACAGCTGCATTTGTTGTGTTAATACCAACACCAAGAACCTATTTACAGTATTTTACATGAAATCTTTCTAGAATTAGCCACTCTTGAAAACCCCATATTTCTGAGCAATATAATAAGATAGGCTTAAATTGAGTATCAAACATTTGAAATAAGACAGTGGGAGATGAATCTGTTTAATTGGAAGAAGGGCTTTATTAGCTTTATGAACGAGAGTCTGGACTGCTTTTGACCAAGATAGCCTGCTGGAAATAAAATACCCAAATAACTGTAATAGCTTGTAGTTTTCAACTTCACATGGTTAAACACCCATTTTTCGGTCTTCTTCAATATACCTCCGTTGCGAAAAACAATTATCTCTGTTTTGTAAAATGAACATTTAAGCCCCATTTTGTACAAAATGTGGATAAAATATTTTTTTTTGTTGAAAACCTATAACTGTGTCAGCTCTAAAAATTCTGCTCCAACAAAAATACCTCTTTCGTCAGACGATGTAAGATCTTCTTCAAGTTGTTTTACAAAACATACTGAATAATAAAGGACTTAGTATACATCCTTGGCGTACACAACTCAAGAAATTGAAATATTCTGAAACACTAGAGTTCCATAGTTTTACAGCTGACATTGATTTAATGTACATATCACGCACTATTGAAAACATTTTATCCCTGAGAAAGAACATACCATAATAGATCTCTATTTATGTAGCAGCTTTATGGCTTCATCTCGAATGAAGATGACAACATGGCTACGGGTGTGATTCTCGACGACTGGGTATTATTTCATTATTTCTTATCACACCCTGAAATACACAATGACATTGAATAAGATAATAAATATAATCAGAGCATGATAATTCATTTGGGGTGCAAACAAAAGAATGGATAACACGTACATCATATGCGTCGTTAAATGAAGACGGTAAATAAAGCATCACTGAATGGTGTTATGATACTAGCCTTGCGACACAGTGAAGCATCTGACTACACAGTGCTGACAAGTAAGATACAACCTGAATTACAGTTGTCCAGATAAGTAATAGTAGATATAGAATATATGAAATATACACACATCTTACTGCGTGTAAAACGTCATCAATAGATAATTGTATATATTTACATTATGATAATATGCCACTATACCAGAAGTATAGCCTCTAGGTGTAGGTCGAATTATGCACGACTACATGGAGAAGGCTACAGTGACTTGCCTCCAACAGTGCCTACAAATATGAAAATAATTCCAAACTAACTTCCCTGCACAATGTCCTTACATATGTACATATTATCATCAAATCAGAATTACTGTAAGTACATATTTACAGATCTGGCATAGCACACAGTAGTCAAAGTCAAAGTCAAAGCGTGTATTGCATGAAAGGCCATTGGCCTATATACAAATCATAGATACAATATGTAAACATATTCGTTTTGCTGTAATCATTCATTCAATTATTTAAACCATGGATATTAGCATTCAATGAGCTGGTAGAATAATCATACAATAGAATTTCTTTCAGTGCGTGATGTACATACAAAGCAAGATCAGACAAAAACATTGCTTCATTTTTTTAGCCAAGAGCTTGGTTAGGACAATAATGTTCGCCAAGAAATTTTTTTCGCAGTAACTTAAAAGTTGGGCACAAAAATATAAAATGGAATTCATCTTCAATTCCAGAGCTACACCATGGGCATAATCGTAAAGACTTTTCTACATCATAATTTCTACCTTCATTGATCATTAGATTTGTAAGACCAAGTCTAAATCGAACCAATTTATTTCTAATATTTTTAGCATGAAGACAGGATAAATATTTTTCAGGTTCTAAGGTATCCTTAAAATAGATATAGGAGGTATAACGTGAACTGTCACATAAAGTAGACATCCAGCCTTGCCGAAAGTTATCAATCAAACGTTGTCGAAAATCGGTGATAAACATGTTTACATTTTCCACAGATTGTGACAGCCATATATATCCAAAACCAAGAGAGAAAAGTAACATACGGATGTGAGAAGCCCATGTGTCTTTACCAAGATTATCATAGTGCAATAATAGCATGTTGTAAGCAAGTTTGGGTAGGCGATGTGCTGGCATTCTTAAAATTCTAATCCAGAATCGAATACATTTTACGTTAGTAATCACGTATAGAGGGTACCGTCCACATTCTCCATATACCATAGCATTTGGTGTAGACAATCCAGCATTTAAAAACCTTTTACAAGCAAGTAAGTGTACCTTTTCTATAACATCTAATCTAATACATATACCCAAATTTCTGAACAATAGGTAAGTATAGGCTGGATTTGTGTATCGAATAGTTTAAAAAACAAATGGGGTGGCACCATCCCTAGTTTATTAGTTACAGCGAAAACACGCAAAAGAGCTCTTTTCGCCCTAAGTGAAAGATCGAAAGCAGATTTCTTTACATTCATTGTACTGTTAAAGAGCAAACCAAGATAGTTACATTCTTTAGCTATAGAAATACTTTGTCCTTTATAAAACCATATTTCGTTTGCAGAGAGCGTTCCACCTCTTCGAAACACAACAATTTTAGTCTGTTCATTTTAACAGCAAGACCACGTTCGTCACTATAAGAGGCTAAAATATTGGTGACTTGTCTGTCCGGTGACTGGGGTGCAAGTGAGGGTTAAAAAGCATGCAAGCTAAGAACAATAGAACATTTGCCCTGGTTTAAACAAAAGGAAGTGACAGGTAAGTGACTGACCCAAGCATCACCAACTTAAAATATTTAAGGTGTAGTATCACCTCTTAATTAAAATCCTTCACCCCCGTAATGCCAACTAATATCAATAGCTACTAACTAATTACTAATAGTAATACTATATACTAATACTAATGCTATATATACTATATAACACTTATACTATATACACAGTATACAAATAACTAGTTCTAATACTAACACAAATACGAATACTATATACACTGTATACTAATAACTAGTACTAATACTAACACACATACCATACTATATACACTGTATACTAATAACTAGTACTGATACTAACACAAATACCAATACTATATACACTGTATACTAATAACTAGTACTAATTCTAACACAAATACTAATGCCACTATTAATACTAATACTAATTACAGTGGTGTACAGTGTATGATTTATTTGACAGTAACACAAATATATGTGACTGCCACATTTACACCATCAAATGCTTTATGAAAATCAACAAATAAACAATAGAATCGACCCTTAGACTTTGACAAGTATTTTTGAATTAAAGCCTGTAGGGTAACAAAATTATCAACAGTTGAATAGCCTGAGCGGAATTTTATATTGTATTGTTTTCTTTAATTAAAATGTTTTTGTTTTACATGCTAGTTCTATATTCATATCTGTGATACTCTAGTATTTTTACAGTCCATCGTTGACGGGTTTTACTCTTCAAAATGCTTTTGATTTTTTATTGTATATATTGTTTTCGTCACGATATGGCTGAGATAAATATTAACTCACTCACTCTTAACGAATCAAACGAAGTACTGGATTAAAGTCAGTCTCGAACTGATTAAAACATATACCTTTAACACGAATGGGGCTTTT